GATAAGTCAACAATGAAAGGGATAACAAAACTTCAATTAAGGTTAAGCAATTACGAAAGATATAATAGTAACTTCAATTAAGGTTAAGAAATTACGGAATAGATAATAATAACTTTAATTAAGGATAAGCAATTACGAAAAAGATAATAATAACCTCAATTAAGGATAAGCAATTACGGAAAAGATAGCATGGCAATAAAAGAGACGACAACATTAATTAAGGCACATAAGAGTTTATTGGCAACAAGGGTAGAACATAAATCAATCAACTCCAAATAAGACATATAAGGGTGAATTTAGTAAATGAATGATTTAACATGATAAGACAACTTCATTTTTAATTGAGCATACGAACCTAAGAGTCTACAAGGGTCAAATTTCTGCAAATAAGCCCAAGTACGTACTCGTCACCACGCGCACACGCCCTTCGCATGACACAATTAGCGCAAATTAATGACTCAAATCCTAAGGGGTAGTTCCTCCACACAAGGTTAGGCAAGATACTTACCTCAAAGAAGCTAGACCGATACTCTAAAATGACCTTCTTGTGTGAAACGACATCCGGATGGCTCAAATCTAGCCAAAGTAACTTTATATCATAAATAAAACTCATAGGAAATAATTCCGGATAATAAAGCTTCGATCTTGAAAGAGAAATAAGAAGTCAACCCGGGCCTGCATCTCGTAACCTGACCAAAATTATAAAATTCGAACACCCATTCAATCACGAGCCCAACCATACCAAAATTACTCAAATATGATCACAACTCAACCTTCAAATCCTCAAATTAAAGCCTAAAAAGTTTCTACAATTTTTCCCCAATTTCTCAAACCCAAAACACTAATCAAATGATGAAAACAATGATATATTTATGTAATTTAACCAAATCCGAGTTAGAATTACTTACCCCAATCATCCCTTGAAAACCTCTCCAAGAATCGCCTCAAACCGAGCTCCCAAAATCAAATCGTGAAATATAACTCAACCCTCGTTTTTGAAATTTATAATCTGCCCATTGAATTATACATCACGGTCGCGAAGAGCAAAAATCCTCAGCTTCCAAAACGTGCTTCGCGAACGCGACATAAAGGCCGTGAACGAGGTGAACAAGATCTTCAGACACTACGCGAACGCGTCTGTGAACTCGCGAACGCAAAAAGAACAATGTCTAGTGCCTTCCCGCCTTATCCCTGCATGATCGCAGACCTCTATATGTGAACACGAAGACAAAAGTCTTCCAATCCTTCGCGAACATGAGCTCCTATTCGCAGACGCGAAGAACAATGCTGCATGCCTCCAAGTTACACTACACGGACGCGATGCAATGAACGTGAACGCCATGAAGAAAAACCAAACATCAGAACCAGCATTTCAAAATATGAGAAAATGGTTCGTAGCCCCTCCGGAACACACCCAGGTTCCCCGGGACACCGTCGAAACATACCAACAAGTTCCATAATATAACACGGATCAGCTCGAGGCCTCAAATCATATCAACAATGCCAAAACTATGAATCACACCTCGAATCGAACTTAATTAACTTTCAAATTCTATAACTCGCACCGAAACATATCAAATCAACCCGGAATGACGTCAAATTTTGCATGCAAGTCCCAAATGATATAAATGGAGCTACTCCATCTCCCGGAATCGAAATTCGAACCCGATATCAACCAATTCAACTCCTGGTCAAACCTCTCAACCTTCCAAAAACTTCAACTTTCCAATTTTTCGCCAAAATGCTTCAAATTATGCTACGGACCTCCAAATACAAATCCGGCTGCACGCCTAAGTCCAAAATCACCATATGAAGCTATTGGAATCATCAGAATGTCATTCCGGAGTCGTCCACATAAAAGTCAAACTCCGGTCAACTCTTATTGCTAAAACTTCTAAAACAAGAATCCTTCTTTCGAATTGATCCCGAAACATCCGAAACCTGAACTCGACCACACACGCAAGTCATCACACATAATACGAAGTTTCTCGATACCTTAAGCCGCCGAACGGAACGCTAGTTCTCAAAACAACCGGTTGGATCGTTACAAATAATAGTAACCTATAATGGCAAGTTAATTACCAATTTTACTAGGTTAATTATCTGGTGATGCTTTGCTTAGACCTATATATGTGTTAGGATATTTATTAAATACGTATTACTAATTCTTAATACTGAACACAATAACTAAGATGAACTATTAGTTGAATAGTAAATTCAGAACACATAAACGGCCCTAACAGCACAAAGCCAGCATTATTATTGTTAAGAACGTCTATAATGATATCCCAGAGAACGTGCTGTCAAGCACTGTATCGTGCATTGACCTATATATGACGTGATTGTCGAGCAAATCTCTTGGATTTGAAATTTTTTAGATTCTGAATCAAAGAAACAGATCATATATCTTGGAAGTCGATTGCTACAAGTTGGTTGCTGCTGTGATAAACTAAATAACTAGTATTATATTATCCATTTTATTACACGATGAGTATGAAAGAGGATTTGACTAGACTGGAATTTAATAGCTTGTTTTCCCATGTTTTCTTTTGGCCAAAAGTGTTTTTTTGTATGCAAAGTATTTTTTTTTCAAATTAAGTTGTATGGCCAAGTTTTTAGAAGGAAAAAAGTATTTTTGAGTATAAGCAGAAGGAGTTTATAAGAAGTAGAAAAAATTAGCTTCTTTCGAAAAGTATTTTTTGGAAAGCATTTTTGAGAAAAAAAATATATTCCTACTTAGAAGCACTTTTTAAAAGCTTGAGCAAACACTAATTGCTGGTCAAAAGTATTTTTGGAATTAATTAGCCAAATACAAATTGTTTCTCGCCAAAAGTACTTATTTGAAAAATTTTGAGAAATTTAAAGGGGGTACATGACAATTATAATATTGATAGTCACAGAGAAATGGTCTAACCTTATTAATATTTCCGTTGAGGAAAAGGATATTCTTTGAATTTTTGCCCCAAAAAAAGTATTCGTTGTAGCGTTTAGTTTAGATTTTGCAAATGCAAACTCAACTTATTAATCTTTTAAAAAATAAAAAACTACAAAAATTAGGTTGAATCACTAATGGTGATTTGCGCAGCTTCTAATAGGTCTATAACTTGTTTCATGCTATTATTAAAGAGAAACTTTCAGAAACCACTATGTTTTAGTGGTTATTAGCTTGTTGTAGCTACCATTTACTATATTACTTCCTATAGCTATGTTTTCACATTTTTAGAGTGTATTCGATGTATTTAAGCTACAGTATTCATGAATACAGTATCATTTCTAGCCGTGAAACAGGGGATTACAGCTAGACATATTTTTGTATTCGAGTGTATTCGACTGTATTCATGGCGTGAACACATGGGATTACAGCTGGACAAATTATTTATTTTTGTATTCGAGTGTATTCGACTGTATTCGCGGCGTGAAACAGGGGATTACACTGTTTTTAAACGGAAAGTGAATCAATTAACATAATAGACTCCTAATATAACTGAACAAACTCAATTATAACACACAAAATTTGTATTTCCAGTTATAAAAAAGATTCTCAACCGAAAAACACCACAAAAACATAGCAATCTTCAGAGAAATTATCTAATACATCTGAATACATAAGTTATGTTAATTTTAAAAAAAAATATGAATACATTCATGGAATATAGCGAGACAGTGAATACAATGAAATACATAGAATACAGCGGGATACATTGAAATACAATGAAAAAAAGGACAATGAATACAATGAAATACATAGAATATAGCGAGATACATTGAAATACAATGGAAAAAAGACAATGAATACAATGAAATACAGCGAGATACATTGAAATATATTAACAGAAAATTCAAGTTGCTCAGCTCCCAACTCCGTCATCTTTGTTCAAGAACCCTAATGTCGTCTCGTTGAAGCAACATCACTATCCAGTTCTCGCTCGCCGTCACCGTTGCATCCGGTTGCCGACGATTAGCACGTAATTACCAGCGAAATATACAACACAAAATACCTATTTGGTAGTAGATCTTGAAGCCAAAGGACTAATTGGACAACTCCAATCTTGAACAGAAATAGAAGCTAATGTTACTGCTAAAATTGCATGAATTGTTGAAACCAAACGGTTACAAAAATCAAAAGAACGAGTTGGAAATAATTTTCTTGTTCCCTTAAAAATAATCAGCCAACCACTGAATTGCCATCTCGCAATTCTCCCCTAAAAATCTTAATGGTTTTCAAGTCTCTTGAGCACACCAAGGTATCCCGGGAGGTCTGACTGAGGATCGGACAAGGACTTCTCGAGTCCATGAATGGCATCAAACACTTTGAGAACTGCGGTGGCAGGAACCATGACACGATTAATATGGCCACCTACAGCACCAAGGGCATCTTTCTGATCCCTAATTGGCCTAATTGCAGCCTCCAAGGATGGCAGAGTCTTCGGCGGTGGTGAGGTTGAAGCACAGTCTTCGCCGGAAAACTCTAATTCTGATATTTTGCCGGAGAGTTCTGGTAGTAAGATGAAGGTGGAAGATGAGAGAGAGAGAGAGGGAGAATAGATACGGGGTAGGGGATACGAGAAATTTGAGGGGATATGAGAAATTTGAGTGGAGAGAAAAAAATAATACAAAGCTTATTTTATGGCTTAAGGGTAGAAGGTGACCATAAATAGATATTTGGCTATAAAAAATCAAAAGGTAGTTATGGAATATAATTTTTAAAAGGGTATTTATTTAAAATAAATAAGGTATAAGGTATCAACCTTTGCTATAGGAGGTAACTAATCCATTATTAAACTAATAGATCAGAAGGTTAAAGTTGGTATACAACATATCTTCCTCCAAGGTGTAGAAGATAGTGCAAGTTGTACACATGGTACTTAGTTAGTTAGCTTACTCAACCATAGTTAGTTGATAACTTAACCCAGGTAGTTAATTGTTAGTTAAAGTAAACCATAGTTGGTCAATTGTATATAAATACTTGTATCTCATATTGTAAATGTAAGAGAGATCATTTTTCCTTCTGCAACTCTGTTACAACTCATTTTCTCTGTACCAATTCTCTCTTCTACTCGCTCGATCAATTGCACACACACACTTAATTTGCATTCATCTCTGAATTCAACATGGTATCGGAGCTTCTAATTGAAAGGATTTATGGATTTTCTTCGTCAATTTTGAAAGGAAATCGAGAAATTCTTCGTCTTCAAAGTTCACTGAAAACCTAATTTTGCAGTTATGGTGAATTCTAGTACTGAATCTAACTGCAGCACAATTTATCACAATCATCCGCCTTATCTACAGCCGTCGGATTCGCCGGTAGTGGTACAAACTGAAATATTGCTCATCGGAATGGAAAATTATAGCATTTGGAGTTGCGCGATGCTGCTGGCGTTGGAATGCAAAAACAAGCTCGGATTTATCGACGACACCGTTCATCGAGCTAATGTTGGCAAGGATTTGGAGAAACAGCAGGATTGCTGCAATGCTTTGGTGAAATCATGGATTACGAGCAATGTAAGCAAGGAGCTTCTTAGCGGTATACTCTTCCGTCCTGATTCTTATTCTGTTTGGAATGATTTAAAGTAGAAATTTGGTAGGGTTAATCTCACTAGAATCTATCATCTTCATAAGGAAGTTGCTACATTGACTCAAGGTGTTTCACCTGTCTCTGTTTATTACTCAAAATTGAAAGATCTTTGGGATAAAACTGATTCCATTATGCATGTGCCTTCTGTAGTGATAAGTCCAATGACTTTGTTACTCACTTGACAAATCAAAGGTTGTTGCAAGTTCTAATGGGCTTAAACGATGTCCATAGTCAAGCTCGTAGTCAAATTCTAATGATGTCATGATTGCTTAGGATGAGAGTCAAAAACTAGTATCTGGTGGTGGTTATGGGTTAGGTGAACACATTGATCCCACAACACTTTTCACTACAAAAGGAACTCAGAAACCTAGAAGGAATTTTCCTATATTTTGTGATTATTGCAACATGAAAAGACATAACAGGGAGAATTGTTACAAGCTCATGGACTGTGAGTTTTGTAAAATGAAAGGCCATCTCAAAGAAAATTGTTATAAGATAATAGGTTATCCGGCTGATTTCAAGGGGAAGAAGAAAGCAAATACAGTCATAGGAGGTAATCATGCAGCTGATCTTGTTCTCAATCAACAACAACAGAATATTGCACAGGCTCAATATGTGATTAACACTGGACAACAACAAGGAAATGGACAAATCTTAGCTCCATTTTTTTACTCCAGAGCAGTACAACCAAATATTAACACTGCTGAACAAATCTCAAGTATCTGAGGCTAGCGCTAACATGGCAGGTAAAATTTTATCTGATAATTTGAATGTACTGAATGGATAGTAGATACAGGGGCAAAAAATCACATAACTAATGATGAATCTGCACTGAAAAATGGTGTGTCAGTAGGAAATTCTGGGAAGGTTCAGTTGCCTAATAGAGAATCAACAAGTATTGCTCAAGTGGGAGATTGTCACTTAGTAGGAGGTGACTTGATTGAGGATGTACTTTGTGTACTAGACTTTAAGTTTAATATTCTCTCTGTGTCTAAGCTAACAAAGGCTTTGAACTGTATTGCCATGTTTTTCCCCAATTTTTTTGTCTTTCAGGATCTCTTCACTGGGAGGGTGAAGGAGACTGGTAAGGAAGAAGATGGATTATATGTCCTAAATTCAAGGAAAAGGAAACCATTTACTGAAGGACAAAAAATAATGGCAGTTTCTGGAGAGTTGAATGCAGCTATTTGGCACAAGAGGTTAGGGCATGTGCCTATGATAGTGATCAAGAAGATTAGTGTTTTTAGAGATAATTCTAATTATACAATAAGTCATTGTGACATTTGTCCTTTAGCTAGACAAACAAGAGTTCCTTTTCCAGTCAGTTGTACTAAGAAAATGATTCCTTTCATTTGGTTATTATGGATGTTTGGGGGCCTACAAGGTACCCACTTATGATGGAATGAGATACTTTCTAACATTGGTTGACGACTTTTCTAGATGGACTTGAATTTTTATGTTACAACTTAAGTCTGATGTAATTACTATGTTGAAAGATTTTATAGTAATGGTCATGAATCAGTTTAACAAGAGGATGAAGATCTTCAGATCAGATAATGGCTCAGAAATCATTAACAGCCACTGCAACACATTGTTAAAACAATATGGTATCCTACATCAGAGTTCTTGTCCATATACCTCACAGCAAAATGGGGCGGTAGAAAGGAGGCATAGACATATCCTAGAAACTGCTCGGGCTATCAGATTTCAAGGGCATTTACCTCTTAGATTTCGGGGAGAGTGTATAGAATCAGCACTCTATGTGATCAATAGAGTTCCATCATCAGTACTAGGTAATAAATCTCCTTTTGAGCTGTTATACAACAGACCACCTAATTTGTCACATATGAGGGTCATTGACAGTTTATGCTATGCCACTAACTTGGTAAGGAGAGACAAGTTTGGGTATAGAGCAATCAAGTCAGTGTTGCTAGGCTATGCTTCTACTCAGAAAGGATATAAGTTGTATGACATGGACAACAAGTCCATTTTTGTAAGTAGAGATGTGGTCTTCAATGAAGGAGTCTTTCCTTTCCAACAACACATGGCCACTGTGACTCCAGTTTTTCCTCAACCTCCTTCTGGATGTCCCTCCTATGAAGAACTGAGACAACATATCCCATCTGAGCCTATAACTACTACAGAATCTGCACCAGCTTCTCCTGTTGCATTAGAAGTTCCTGCTACATAAGAAATTCTTATTGCTCCTACATTGTCTATACAACTTCTCTTATTGTCTCAGAAATTCCTGTTGCATCAGAAGTTCCCTCTTCTTCTCAACCTCAAATACTTCCTTCAGAACCATTAAGAAAATCAAGCAGACCTAGTAAAACTCCAATTTGGCTTCAAGATTATGTTCACCCAGACAAAGGAAAGAGGACTGCCAACACTTGCCTATATCCTCTCACTTTTGTATTAAACTACATGGCTCTTGCACCGTACTTATCAGAGTCTTGTTGCTAAGCTCTCCACTGAAGTTGAACCAAGATCTTACTCTGAAGCTGCAAAGGACCCAAGATGGGTTGATGCTATGAAAGAAGAGATACAAACACTGGAAGAAAATCATACTTGGTCCATCATGCCTCTTCCTCCTAGGAAGAAAGCCATTGGATGTAAATGGGTGTTCAAGATAAAGTATAAAGCTTCAGGTGATATTGAAAGGTTCAAAGCAAGACTTGTCGCACATGGTTATAGTCAAAAGGAGGGAATTGACTATCAAGAAACCTTTTCACTTGTGGTGAAAATGGTGATAGTGAGAGCAGTTCTATCTTTAGCAGCAGCTCACAAATGGCAAATTTATCAGATGGATGTGTTTAATGCATTCTTGCAGGGTGATTTAACTGAGGAGGTCTATATGCAATTACCTCCCGGCTTCACATAGTCACATGGGGAGTAACATGTTTGTAGGATGCTCAAGTCCCTCTATGGACTTAAGAAGGCATCTCGTAAGTGGAACATCAAATTGACCACTACCTTAGTGTCTTCTAGCTTTACTCAGAGTCATCTGGATTATTCCTTACTTATTAAGAAGGTGTTAGATAAAATGGTCATAGTCTTGATCTATGTAGATGATCTCTTGATCACAGGCAGTGACTCTAAACTCATCCAGGAAACTAAAGACATTCTGCAGCATAGTTTCAAAATTAAAGATCTTGGTGAGCTTAGATATTTTCTTGGGCTGGAATTTGCTAGAAGTAAGGAGGGCATATAGATACATCAACGAAAGTATGCTCTAGAGCTCCTCTCTGATTTGGGATTGACTGGTTCTAAGCCTTTAGTTACCCCATTGGAACCTAATTTGAAGCTCACTTAAGTTGTTTTTGATCAGCATGTTGGGGAAAATGGTGATCAATTGCTTGCTGACCCCAGTGTTTATCAACGACTGATTGGTCGTTTACTATATTTGACCATGAGTCGGCCTGACATTTCTTTTTCACTCCAAACTCTTAGCCAATTTATGCGTGCTCCCAAAGTCTCTCACATGGAGGCTGCCAGTCGTGTGGTTAGTTACATCAAGCATGCTCCTGGCTTGGGTATCCTATTTTCTGCTTCTAGTGCAGCCCAGCTACATGCATTTTGTGACGCAGACTGGGCCTCATGCCTCAACACTAGACGATCCATCATAGGGTACCTTATCATGTATGATGACTCTCATATATCCTGGAAGTCGAAGAAGCAGTGTACCATCTCAAGAAGCTCTGCTGAAGCAGAGTACAGGAGTATGGCATCAACTGCGGCTAAGATTACTTGGCTCATTGGCTTATTCAAAGAGCTCGATGTTGAGCTTCATCTGCCTGTGCCTCTTCATTGTGATAGCAAATCTGCTATCCAGATTGCTGCCAAGCCTGTTTTCCACGAACGAACAAAGCATATTGAAATCGGTTGACACTTCATTCGCGAGAAGATTCAACAAGGTTTGGTCAAGACTGTATATCTAGCCTCTGCTGAACAACCTGATGTTGTTCTTACTAAGGGTCTTCCTTGCCTGCAACATCATCCCTTGATTTCCAATCTAGGGATGAAGAACATCTTCATTTCCCCTAGCTTGAGGGGGGGGGGGGTGTAGAAGATAGTGCTAGTTGTGCACATGGTACTTAGTTAGTTAGCTCACTCAACCATAGTTAGTTGATAACTTAATCCAGGTAGTTAATTGTTAGTAAAAGTAAACTAATCACGCCCAACTATGCCTTATAAAAAGGACTAAGCGGTAGTTGCAAATATAATCCGGTTTACAAGTCCGGAGTCGAATCCCACAGAGAATTAATTCTTAGCTACAGTTGTTCAATATCGCTAAGAAACACAAGTCCAAACAATTTGCTAATTGTAAAGATTATAATATTTATTTTTATCTAATTAACTTAAAAATACTAGAAAGCAGTAACACTATCAATTAAGAAGGATAAGGATTGGAGACAAGATTACGGAGGTCTAGAGTTATGATTTCCCCTATTGTCGGAATCCTTTCCGCTACGTTCTCTACAAATTTGCCTATGTTTTCTCTACCGATCATGAGCGCTCTGAGTGTTGTAATTCTGTCCCGAGTAACTACCACAATTTACTAGACATATTCTCCCGAATTAATCTAGGTGGCATTAAGTACGGGTCACTCGGATCACACCAAGGTTTCATTATCCCTAATCCCACCTTTAAACCCTCGTATTGATCCCTCATATACGTTAGGAGTGATGTTGTTCAACAACTACCTAAATTTGCACTCTCTCCCGAGTAATACACACTAAACAGGCACAGTCGATTGAGAGCTCTTCAACCAACTACAATACTAAAATTCATAACTAATAATGGAAATAGAAGGAAGGAAGTGAAAAACTCGTAGAAGAATTCTCCGCCTTGCTCCTAGTGTGTTCTTGCCGTCTTAGGCCGAATACCCTGGTCTAATGTCGGTCTCTTGCTGTCCAACTCCCCGTCAAAAGTGGCATTTTAGGTCTATTTATATGTGTAGGAAAAGACCTAAACGTGTAGGCCAAGTCCTAGTCAAACCAGGAGACGAAATAAGCCTTCAAAGCTCAGAATGTGCGCGCCCTGGACCTAGCCTCGCAAGGTCTACCGCCCACTTGAGCTCGCCCCAGGCCTGGCGACGCTAGCTCCAACGCGAGCTAAAGGCCTGGCATCGCCAGGTATAAAGCCTGCTATAGGCCTGGCTTCGCCAGTTTTCTCCTTTTCACTATTCTCGAGCATGCTTTCAACATTTAAGTATCCCTTTTGCTCTACTTTCATCTCCAATTCACCGACAAATAAAATAGACTCCATTACGCACAAACAAAGTGTAATTTATCATTAAAGCATATAAATTGCAAGGCAAATAATATACGAAACTATGGAATTATAGCCACACATCAATACCCCACACTTAAACATTGCTCATCCTCGAGCAATCAAACTACATTTATAGACACAACATTTTTTAAGCAATTCCTTTAACTCGTTACACCAAGAATGTTTAAAATAGTCTAAGCACCAAGGTATAACATCTTCACCTCAAGATTTGACTCGCAAGTACCATGCATTATTCACAACTCACTCACTTACTCTAACATGGAGGTCAATGGCATTACCTTTCCTTCATGAATCACATGCCCTCACACAACAAAAGAGAGTAGTTCCACAAACAATAAAATTTAAGAACAATTAGGAACTCAAGATAGAAAGAATTCACTCACTCTCAGAAATAACATTTATATGCTACAAATGATGTACCATAGGCTTGCCCGTAGTGTACTACTCTACTAATCGAGCTCATTCAGTCTAGGATCAAGTAGGACTTTAATTGGTTGTAATGTAGGCTGCGGGTCGGGTAGGATACATTTGGATATAAGAGTGACTACACCTCCCTAAGCACTTTAATACATATACTTTAACATTCACATACCACACTTATGTCAAACCATGACTCCACCTTCACATCAATATACATCAACTCCTAAATTATTTAAGCACAATTACATCAAGAGTTACTACTTGTCAATGAATATCTGCACACAATACAACTATTTTTTTTCCTTTTCTTTTCTTTTTCAATTCAAGTGGCTCTTGCTCTTTCAAATCAGTGCACCTTTCTCTTTATTTCATTAGCTCCACTCAAAAGTCGAACCAACCACCCCACACTTTAACTTTTACAAAGTTCATAACAATTCAAGTGCTCATGAGAGGTGAAAATTCAAATAGATGGTTAATTCAAGCAATAGGGTAAGGCTTGTAATGTGGTTGCCAAAGAAACATGATTACAGGCTCAAAGGGGTTAACTACGATATATAACAATTAGGCAGGTAAAATATACATATCTGGCTCAACAAAGAAACCCCTATATCACTTCCAAAACTAAACAAAACTACTATTTCGCTATGCAAGCACATGGGGCAAGTTCTAGACATCAAATACAATGCATAGAATAACACGCAAACCTCACACCCACATGGCACATAACTTACTCAG